TTGTATATTTAATTATTATGCTTTGTTTTTTAAAGCTCCTCCTCATGCACATGATGTTCTTGCTCTTCATCGACATGGTCATAAACTTGGTGGTTTACCAATAATCTTCTGGATAGCATTAGCATTTTTAATAATTATTTTTCATTTATTTTTATTAAAAATAATTCTTAATGAAATGGGTTTCTTTACACATAAGTTACCAACATATACAAAACCACGTGTCCTCTAAATATCGAATCAACTTTTTTCTTAGATACATTCACATTTGTAATTAAGAGTTTTTTTTTTTGGCTTTGGTGTCTTTATATTTGTTCATCGTGTTATCGATTAACTGTTTGACTTGTTTCAATTTTTTGTTTTTCTTTTTTTTTTTTTAGTTTAAACGATATAAGATAAGATTTACTTTTTTTTCTCAAGAAAGAAAGCAAAAAAAAAAAGAATATTACTTTTTGTTCTTAGCAAATAGTCTGAAAACGGTGTTGATTGTCTATCAAACTTCAATGGTTACGAACGGGAAAAAAAAAGAAAAATTGAATCAAATCAGATTTACATAGCGACCATCTCGTTACTTTGTGCGTTTATATTTATTTTTGATGGCTCGCGATCATAATTGATGATAAGAAAAAAGGAAAATATAAAAGTACGACAGTCTACGTAGCAGTAAAACAATCTCTTTACTTGCTTTGATCAATTTATTATAATATGAAATTTTATTGATTAATGATCTTTGGTTTTGTTTATTGACATTTCATAACTCAATTCTTTTAACATGTACTATTTATAAGATATGTCAATTTTATGTTGGATAGAATTTTTAATATATCGTTGACTCGTTTATAATATTAAAAAATTTTTAGTATTTCTTAAGATAACAACAACATCGATACCAAACAAAAAAACAGAACTAATAATGTGTTTTGCTGTTGACGAGAAAGGAAAAAATGAAGAGAAAAGAAAATGAAAAAAAAAAAAAGCAAAAAAATATCATTTGATGAAATTCTCATCTTGAAGAGCAATTTAAAACGAAAATTACTTACTTTGTTTTCTTTTT